TAGGGGGTATGGGTATACAATAACTATGCAACGTATATCCCACGGGCGTACAGAATGCATATAGCATATAAAAAAAAATTAATACGACCCCCCTTTTCCACAAGAAAAAATCAACTATCAAAATAAATTTGTCTTACAAATACGACCCCCTCCCCAGAGCAAAAGTACGACCCCCCATGGGTTTGACACAACGATGCTGTACCCTGGCTCAATATGGGAATGCTTGGACCAGTTATCTCTGTTGGTGTCATATATCAGATCTCCTTATCACCTCACTCTCGTCATTCGAGTGTAAACAACCAGTAGTACAATAGCAGCACTACCAGTTTGCCATTAGAATGAACGCTGGGAGTGTTGTTGGGCAGTGGGCGGGGCATCGCCCTCGTCCTCAGCGGGCAGCGTCCTTATCACCTATTTTGAGCCTCATCCTCTAAGTTTACGAGCACGGCTACTCTGTCCACAGGCGATATCTGCGCGTTATATCAAAGCGTTTTTGAACGCTTACGACCACTTTTTTTAATTGCTGTAATTTCAATAACGCACCTCCTGCAACTGTAGTTCAGTATGTGCTTTGGAGAGGCATGCCGATATAACACTTCGTAACAAGTTACCACTGGATTGAAGGCTGGAACACATCACTGAGGTTCTTTGGGAATCAGTGGGAAATTTTTTCGAATGCTGGGAATTTTTTGAATTTTTGATTTGGATTTTTGAATTTTTTGAATATGGATTCGACACATTGTGTAGTGACTTCTTTCTGCATGAGGAGAGTAGCATGAGGGATTCTGGAGAAGGGAGCCAATCAACCCAATTCTTGGGGTTGGAGTGGTTTCGAGTTGCGAAGTGAAAAATTCTCCCATACTGGAGAACGAAGCACCGGGATGAGTTGAGGAAGAAAAAGCGAGGAGAATCTCACTCTCCACCTGTGGCCAGGTGCTGCCTATGCATAGATTCAGTGAGCTGTGTGATTCTATGCAATTAATTTAAGCACTTTTCTAAGCGAGGATACAGCTTCCTTCTGTTCACCAAACTTCCAACTTAGAAGGGCAAGAAAAAGAGCAAACCTCGCATATATTCGTCCCCAGTTCTCAAAAAGAAAGCTCAGCATGAAGTCACTGGCAAGAGGATTTCTCGCAACTACGTGAAAAGCAGATGAGATATCTTGAAGACGAATCACTTTCTGCTCCAGTGCCATTTCCAAAACACTAAAAAATGTGCATATAGCTCATTCTTGATTCAGATCATCATGAAGCTGATCAGGATTTGTGGGAAGAAAGCTCTAATGTTTGACAATAACACACCCCCTCAGGACTGCTTTATTGTCACTGCAACCAAGAGCACGTAGAAGATTCGATTGCTCAACGTGGACTGATTCGTGTTTATAGAAATCCATCACCTGGAACTCACAGAGGTTAAAAATAGTTTCTGAGGTCACTTCGGAGTGTTATGTTACCTTTTCATAAGCTATACTCCCGAACTTCTTAATTCCGTAACAATAGGCCCCAAATCTGAGAGGAGCGGCAATCCTTAAAAAAAAGTTACGATGGCTAAATTTATTTTTGCGACTGGTCTTTCTAAGGTAAGCGTTGAAGGAGTTTCTTTGGAACTTTCCTTTATCGCCGATGTTTCATACATTCAGTATCTCGGAAATTGAGTGGGCGTGGCTGCCTACTTCATTTGAACATGCATAGGATGCGCGCCTCATGGGATATTTCAATCCCGGACAACTGTGATCCTGTCTTATCCCAGACAAAAATTTGGCCAAAACTGTCCCCAAACGGAAGGACCCCACTAAAAGCCGCCAGAATGAAATACGCGGCCACGCCCTTCCCATCTGTTGGATCCAAAGTACGGGATCTGTACTTTGAAAAAACTACCTGACACATTCGCTTGCTCGTGAGCCTTTTCCACATTTCTGAAGAACCTCCTTTTCAAAGAGCTTCGTATATTGATCTATGCAATCTTCAGCATCGGCTGCACAGTACGATCCAATTATGTCCATTTTAAGATTACTAAAACAGTGGTCTTTTTAGGCCTTGAGCTGCAATGTGCTGCCGCATATGAATCCTCGCATCTACTAAAAGCGAGCTAAAAATATTGTAATAGATTGTAATAGCGATGTCAATGAGGGGTGAGATACCACATTCATTCTTGTTCGCGGCGAATGAGGGGGCGTGTCAATAGGGATAGGTCTGCCCCCTTGGCGCCAAGCATTGCCCACCAGCTGTCAAAGCTAGCAAGTGACAAAACTGTATCATATCCTTCGTATCAGTAATTTTTCACCAGCTGTTTAGGCTTAG